TCTCTCTCTCTCTCTCTTTCTCTCTCTCTCTCGCTCGCTTTCTCTCTCTCACTTCCTCTCCTTCCCCTCTCTGGCTCTCTGTAATTACCTCCTGTCTTTCTTTCTTTCCGCAGCAATAACCCGTGGAGCACGAACGGAGTAGCCCAGGGCGGGGGTAATGCCGCCCCCTCCCTGTTCAGATCGCGGGCACCGCGCCCCCAAGTCACGGACGGAGCGGAGCTCGACGAAAACACGCGACCGAAGCGCGTATCCACGAACAAAGCCGCAATATCAAACCATGTACGCTGCTGCTCCGAGGTATGAATGACGTAGATCCGAGACGTGATCGAGGTCGTACGTCCGAAGCGAGCGCGCCACACCGCCGAATGAGGCTGAATGTTGCTGCTCCGCTTCCTCTCTCCCTCGTTCTCGGCCATAACCCCGCTTGCTATCGTGCTGCGGAAGACACCGTGACCTTCTCTCCTCTTTTCTCGGTGTGTGAGCCGCATGCCCCGCCTTCTTTACACGAATTTTCTCTTTCTCTCGCTCTCGCTCCCTCTTCCTCTACCTGCGTGCTCGCTGGCTTCCCAACCGAGCGCTACCTCGTGCGTAGAAGAACTTGCTCCGTGGGCGTGCCTTCCCTTTCCCCTCTCTTGCTCGTTTCTTCTCACAGCCTGCGAGCTCGTTCAGCAGCCGGGTGCTGCCTCGTGCCTTCGACGAGCGTGCTCCCCCTTCCTCTCTCTCTCTCTCCTTCTCTTCCCCTTTCCGCGTGCATGCTGGCTCCGAAACCGAGCGCTACCCCGTGCGCTATAGAGTGTGCTCTCCAAAACTCCTTCCCTCCCTCCTCCCTCTCTCCCTCGCTTCTTTCTCCCTACGTTGAGAGGGCTCCGGCCGCGACCGTCCGTTGTTCAGCAGTCGTGCGTGTGGACCCCCGGTGCTCACGATTCGCGCCCTTTCGCATCTCCCAGACGTCCCCTTTTCTCTCTTCCTCTCTCTCTCTCTCTCTCTCTCTCTCTCTCTCTCTCTCTCTCTCTCTCTCTCTCTCTCTCTCTCTCTCTTTCTCTGTCCGCGGTAGCGGGCGCTGAAGATCGACCGAGCACTCCGTACTCTCGAGAACGCGCTCTTTCCTCACGTACACCCATGCGCAATCGTCTCCCCCCTCTCTCGAACTCTTCCCAAGGTTCTCTCCAACGTACAACTTTCTAGAAGCTGCGAGGGAGCGCGCCAGTTCTCGTATGCTAGCACCAGGATGCGCGGACTTTCCGTGCGCTCGTAACCCGTTCGCGAGTTACTCCCGTACTCCCCCCCCCGAGTCCTTCGCTTCTCCCCCTATTTATCTTACTCCGATTGGCGGAGCTCGCAGCTGACTTCAGCATCTTCGGAGGCTCTACCAATTTTTTTCACGAATTCTTCGTTTCCCGCTCGTTCACTCCTTTTTCTACTACCTCTCGCCTCCACCAATCCCATCCTCGATCATCCTCACCCTCGGATTCACAGGTCGCATTCCTTCACCTTCTCCCCTCCTATTTTCGAGAAGGCTTCCTTCTCCTCCCCCCATCATGATCAGCAGATGCCTACCCTCCTGTCTTCAACCGCTTTTCCCGCTCGTTCATCCGTTCGCCTTCTTTCGCGGAAGGGCGAGCTGCAATCCAAATTTATCTGCTTGACCGTTTGCTACCCCTCTTCTACCTGATCCCTTCTCACCTTCGACTCGTACAAGCGCTGCGCGCGCCAACCAACCCCCTCTCTCTCCCAGACTCACTTAGGCGCCTGGTACATCGCCGCTTCATAGGCCACCTCGTCAGCCCTACTTCAGCAACCACTGTCGGTCCTCCAATACGATCCTTCCCCTTCTCATCGCAGGATCGACTTCGAGTGCAATTTGCCCGCGATCTGACATAGCCCCTGGGCCCGCCACCAGTCCTAGCCAGGGCGCATTCAACCCCTTCGACATTCAATCCTTCTGCTGTCTTCCCCTTTCGACTTATCGACGCTCCCTGCGCCACCGCCTCTTGGACAGTTATGAAGAGGCTACGGGTGCGCTCGCACACCCTGTCTGTCGCTAGGAAACCCAACCGTTGCATTCTGGTATGTTAGGTCAGAAAGGAGGAAGCCCCCYCCCCCCCCCCGCCCCCGGGGTAAGGCCAAGTGCATGCGTGAACTTCAGCAGCCCCATCATTGATGAAACCCGCCTACCGGCCCTCCTTCGAGCGATTTGATCCCCGTCGCCAAAGCCGGCTGCTTGGTCAGTCATCATATCGAGATGGCGGTATGGAGATCCGACCCGACTAATCGCTTCTCGGGGTCCGTACCAATTTTGGACATCCCAAGCTGGCTGCTGTTGCCGACCGATCACCATGTACCGGGAATGTTTTCCACAAAGTCCGACAACCACAATTATTGTCGGGCCCCTGTGGCTATGCGCAATTGTCGCTCTTCGGGCAATTTCGCCGGATCGTCGCACATACCCTCCTTCGTCTAGATTTGAGTTTAGTTCCGTGTAGATCCGGGGTAGCACGACAGTCTCCTGAAGTTGCGGTCCCGGTTTCCGCCCGGCTCCCCCGCCTCCGACTGCCGCCGTCCGCGTGCCCCCCCCCCCGAAAGTCGAATTATCGGTTTTTCCTAGTAAACCCCGAGCCCTCACAGACGCGCCCTCATTCCGAGTTTTTCATGGCTCACCAAAAAGTCCAACGGTGATCCTCGATTCCTTGCCCATGGCGTCAAAACCTTGGCTTTTGGGGATCCGCGCGAGCCTGCTTGCGACCATGATGTGAACCGCTACTCTGGCCCATTGAAGGGTTAGTACAGAGGTTCGGGCATCCAAAATCTCTGACAAGGCATACATTCACACACATGCATGCGTCAAGCCCATGCAAAACAGCAGAAGAAAGAAAGAAACATTTTTTATTTTGAAAAAGAAAAGCCCTCGGCTGGTAGGCAACCGCCCGACACCAGCATCTTGACGATTGGAGCGATGCTACTTGGAACGCGATGGAGAGTGGCTCCCCTTGGGCAAGCCAGTACAAGTTTGCCAATATGTTGGAGTTCGGAAACCTTATTACACTGCCTGATGGTGTCCTCAAGCACAAGTTCCTGAACCGTATGTGCAAAACACTCCGCTCCATTAGCCGCTATAGCAGTCGCCTCGACTGCGGCTACATCAGGTCTTCGCCACAAACTTGGGGAAGTTCGCGGAAATAAGAGTAGGTGGATTGCGCTCGTCATTGTTCATTCTTGGAGTAGTACCCACTCCGTTGCACCGGGATTTCTCCACAAGCTGTGTCATACTATGGTGTGCGGTTAACTGTCGCCGGATGTGATTTCGCCGGAGTGCTATGTGTCACTACTTCGAACAAAAGTAGGAAACTCGCCGATGCAGTTGTGCGTGTATCACGAAACGAGGTGGTACTTGAGGGGTCCAAGTTCGTGCTGTTGCGGTACCTCGGTGTAGATGGGTGGTCAGATTTGGTGATAGGAGGCCAGTTCGAAGATTTCTCATTGTGGCATGAGGTCGAAGAGAAAGTGTCTGACATGAGGTGGAAGATTTCTTGCCGTTGCGGTACCTCTGTATAGGGTTTGTTATGATGAAATACATGTCCGTATTTTCGGAGAATACAACAGTCGAGGAACCGCAGATCCACTTATATGGATCATCAATGAATGCTATGTATGGCTTCCGTTCACGACCTCGTTCGCGGGAAACTTCGTATGTCACTAGATCCGGACGGGTTCCCAGACCTTGTGTTTAAGGGAAAAGGAGCGAGAGGTGTGAGAGGCATGTGTGTAGCCGAAAATGGTAGATATGAAGTAGTAGAGATAGGTGTGAGAGGCAGTAATTGCAAGTAGACGCTATACTCAGTATGTTCGTAGTTCTGTGATTTGCGATTTTCGGAAAGTCTCAGTGTGTTGTGCAATGTGTGATTAAATGATTTTTTGCAGTGAATGGTTTTTGAAAACACCGTTGTGTACTTCGCAATGTGCGGTTGAATGATTTTTTTGCATAAAACGATTTTTCGAAACTCTCCGTGCGGTGTACAACTTGACCTTCTGGAGAACAAAAGGTAAAGTTGCAAATGTTTTCATCTCGATGTTGCGATGACAAGAGTTAAATAATATGAACGGATGTTATGTTTTTTGTCGCTGCAAAGATTTGATGATATTTTCACCCGGGAATATACGAATGACAAGCCAGCGTCCATATTAAATCATCACGCTGATGGTGTGCGCACCTTGCTGTCCATCTAAGTGTGAGTTCACACGCACTTGTGGTGTGAACCCCGAGCAATCCACTTAAACTCATTTTCGTCTAGCCTCCAACGACACTGTGGTTTTCTTGCTGCGCAGTGGATTTCACCAAACACGTAAGTACATAACCTATCTCTCTCTCTATGTCTCTCTTGCACCCTCCTTAAGTTCGAAACCGAACGAACTTCGCGTTTCCACATGCCCTTTGATCTGACAATGGTCTTCTCTGTGCCCATTGATCGGATCCGCATTTCCGTCTAACCTCAGACGTGCGCATGGATTCCTGCTGTATCTTGAGTTGTGATAAGTTGATAACCGCACAAGTGCGGGTCCAGTCTTTCTCTATGTCTCTCTTTCTCGCGGCCTCCTTAAGTTCGGATCCCGGCGAACTTGGCGTTTTCGCCTGTTTATTGAACAGACAGTGGTCTTTCTGATCCCCCCTGGATTGCAACAGCAACCCGAGTTTGCCGGAGTCTGGACTTCTCATTTTACTCGAACAGGGTCGCAGAACATGATGGCCCGGCTCCTGCGTTAGAACTTGGCTGCATCAGGTGCCAAGCTATGCATATCGCCAAATCGGACAGTAGAAGAAGTTCCGATGTGGGCGGACTTCTCATTTTCAAGTAGCCTCTCATGTGAGTGTGGACTTCCTAGATCATCGTTGAGTTTAACAACCACAGAATTACGGATCGTGTGTCTCTTTATCCGTCTCTCTCTATCGCACCCTTCTTAAGCTTGGATCCCAGCGAACTTCGCGTTTTCGATTGTGCGTTGGTCTGTTTGTGGTCTTCCTGGTGCCCGGTGGTTCGCTCAAACCACCCTAGTTCGCCCGCGACCGACTTCTCGTTTTGCCCATATGCAGTTACCGAGTTTGCTTGCACGAGCACGGCCTTAGAACGCTGGCTGCATTGGCTAACGGGCTTCGAGCTATTGCGAAACCGGAAAGCAGAAGAAATTCAGGTGCCGGCGCACTGCGAATTCTCATGTGGCCTCTAATGCGACTGTGGTTTTGCTTGTTCCCCGTAGATTTCAAAAACCACAAACATACGGATTATGTCTCTCTCTCTCTGACTCTCTCTCTCTCGCGCCCTCTTTAAGTTCGGATCCCGACGAACGTTGCGTGCTCACCTGTCCGAATCGGGGTTCCGGAGGGTCTCTGTGTGCGGAGGCCACTGGCCCGTCCAGCCGGCATCCGAGCTTCGCATACTGAGCGGAGGCCACTGACCCGTCCGGCCGACAATCCCCTTGTCGCAGCAGGGCGTGCCCATGCCACACGCACTGCCACTATGCTCCGACGATGGAGGATTTCAACTCCGGTTTCGGTGCCGGGGCAGCGCGAGCTATCCAGTGCCATTCGATCTTCACATATTGAGCGGAAGTCACTGGCCCGTCCAACCGACAATTCCCTTGTCCCAGCGCGACGTGCCCATGCCGCGAGCTCTGCCACTATGCTCCGACGACGGAGGATTTCAACTTCGGTTTCGGTGTCGGGGCAGCGCGAGCTACGAACAGGGCCAGCCAGCGATTCCCGCGTGACATGCCCGCAATCTAAGTCCGCCGGCATCCGAACTTCAGAAAATCTCGATGCGTCACTAACTAAGACACCCGTGTGCGGAATAGCTTCGGTCCCGATGTGGTTGTCGCCTGACCACCTACAAGATGTGCCAAACAGTCGTTCATTGTCTTTGCGAATTGCCAAAAGCACTCTTAGGGGTCCTTAATGCTAGGGCTGGGTCCGTTCGGCGCAGAGTTTTGTGCTGCCCGAACATATCTGGGGTACAGTGATCACAACGTCCCCATCGCGAGAGCTTCGCGCTTCCTGAAACTCATGGAGATCCCGGTTGGTGGTTGGATCTGGATCTGTTTTGAGCAGAGTTTCGCACTCCACAAACAGAATTCCCCTCCAGTTCCCACAGGTTATCAGTTGTTCGGGCAGAATTTCGAGATGCTCAATTGCAGCTGGGGCGAGCTTGGTGGGCCTTCTTGTTGGATTTGGATCTGTTTAGAGTAGAGTTTCACACTCCATAAACAAAATTCCGCTCCAGTTCCCGCAGGTTATCAGTTGTTCGGGCAGTCTTTCTCAACTGGGGCGAGCTTGGTGGGCCTTCTTGTAGGATCTGCATCTGTTTTGAGCATAGTTTCGCACTCCACAAGCAGAATTCCCCTCCAGTTCCCGCAGGTTATCAGTTGTTTGGGCAGTCTTTCGAGATGCTCAATCGCAACTGGGTCAAGTTTGGTGGGCCTTCTTATTGGATCTGGATTTGTTTTGAGCAGAGTTTCGCGCTCCACAAACAAAATTCCCCTCCAGTTCCCGCAGGTTATCAGTTGTTCGGGCAATGCTCAATCGCAACTGGGGCAAGTTCGGTGGGCCTTCTTCTTGGATCTGGATCTATTTTGAGCAGAGTTTCGCACTCCACAAACAGAATTCCCATCCAGTTCTCGCAGGTTATCAGTTGTCCGGGCAGTCTTTCGAGATGCTTAATCGCAACTGGGGCAAATGTGGTAGGTCTTCCGGGACTGTGGACCATTAGAACTTCACCGGCATCCAAACAAGAATGTCGCACGGTGCTTTAAAACTGCAGAAAATTGAAGTTGTGGCAATTCAACCGGGAACGAGGAACGCCAATGACTGACGGTTTCAGTCGAAGTTCGCCGACATCCGAACTTCACGCAATGCAGCAAGGGTCGTGTGGTCCGCTGTTTCTTTGGACACCAACTTCACGGAATGACGAACGGTTTCGGTCGAAGTCCGCTGACATCCGAACTTCACGCAATGCGGCAACGGTCGTGTGGTCCGCTGAAAACGAGAGAGAGGTCCAAATCCATTTGAGCAAACTGAGGGTTCCGTGTTGCGCTCTGCCAAGATAATTTTCGTGCTACGAAGTTCGCCGTAATCCGAACTTCTTGGTTTGGAACGACGTAATGTTGCCGACGTGTGCAGTAAAATGTTTCCCGCCTGTGTTTGTGATGCTTCGTTACCGCCTGCGTTGTGGTTTGACTGTGACTTAACTGTTTCTGCTCTGGTTTTCCCGAACCTGACAGCGTGGTGGTTTGCTTCATTTGCGTTGTCGTCCGCAGACACGATGTCTTCGTCGAGGGGCGAGGGGGAGCCTGCCTGGACCTCCAAGATGGGATCGGGAAAAGATTCCACAAAACGGCCGTTTACGGCCTCTAAATCGTGGTCGGACCACTCAAGGTCGAAATGGTTCGTCGAATGGTGCTGTGGGGATGCTTCGAACCCGGTTAAACAGTCGTGTGGTCCTGTCATCTTCATTGACGCCCACGAGCGGCGTAGGGTTCTAGGGGTCGTCTTCCGGGGGGAGGACGCGAAAGGCAGTCGTCGACGGTTCTATATAAAAAATGTTTACGGTGCGGAGGACAACGTCGTCGCCAATTCCAAGGGGGTGCTACTGGACATGGATTTGTTTGAGGGGTTAGGAGCGGGTGCTGTGAACACCCCATTCTACAATGACCTCCTGCGGCAGGGCGGGTTTCTTTTGGGTCGAGAGTTTTTTAACTTGTTGGAGGAGAAGGACATCGTCCTCGACGTCCCCTGCGACATCGGCCCCGCCCAGAAGTTGTCAATGCCCTTGTAGTTGTGTGGCGGTTGTGAATCCAGCGGGGTTGCGCCGGAGGGGGGGGATCTGGGTTCCGGTGTGGGTGGAGAGCCGCGGTCAATTTGACGACAACGAAGACGAGGCAACACCGCTACCGACGTCTTCGCCGTTGAGCCCAAGAGACCGGTCCATGCTGTCTATACCTGGGGTTCGGCAAGCAACATCCGTTCGACAGGAGGTCGCAGCGGATCCCCAAAAGGCGGCAGTCCAGTGTGGGCTCGACTCGGAGACTGCCGAGGGCCATGACACGGAGGATGAGACCGTGGGTGGAGAGGGAACGCAGGGTGCTCCGCAAAAAAGAAGGGGAGATCGGCAAGACGACTTGATTGACTCTTCGAAGAACCAGAAGACCAAGGCCCCGAAGAGTGGGGGGGAATAAGGGAAGGGAACGGGGGGGGAACAGGACCGCCCGGGTAGCAAACGTCCGACTTCGAAACAGAAGCAGCCTGCGTCGGGACCTCCCTCGCCACGGCCTGCCATCGATGTGGACGCCGGATACTTCCCGGAGTACAAAGAAGATGTCAGGACAAGGTGGGAGTTTGAGATTAGCCCGGCTCAAGTCGGCGACCTCGGGGAGTGGGAGGATCTGTACAACCAGCGGTCCCTGAATCCCGTCCTGGTTGAAGGGATAAAAGAAGCGATGCGGTTGGCGTTCGAAAACAAAGAACAGTCGTACGAGTTGCCAACCCTGAAGCTCGCACCGCTCGGGCTGCAAAAACCAACTCCCGGGAACAAGGTATTACGTCTGAAGCCGGAGGAATGGAAGGACGAGCTGGCGAGATAATACTACTACTACGCAGTGTGTGGGCAGCATAACGCGGCTGCAGCCCGATCGCTGCTGGGCAGCGAGGTGGCCAAGAAGTACAATTTCGAGCGGTGGCCGGCACGAATGGTGTACTTTTCGGACAATGACTTCGAAGGGTATTTTCTTGTTAGTTCCCAGGACAACAAGAAGGACCTCAAGGCACCTCCTAGACAGTTGAAACTGTCTATGAAAGACATTCGGTGGCAGTGGAAGCATAACGGTTTCCCTAGAGCTGTCATGGGGAACCGTAGCGGGAAACAACATCAGGTCGGGAAACAGCGTAAGTTTTGTACAGTGGCGCTCCATAAGGCGTCGTACTACAACTTGTGGATTCTCGCGGATCAAAAGGGAGAGGACACCATTAAGAAGCAAAATGTTGCCCTGCGTTCTTATTTCCCTCTGGCGATGGCTGGACAAAATGTCTGGAAACTAGCCATGAATTTTTCTTTTTAATGAGAGACGGGTAGATTGCTGGGCCACGACGGAGCGAAGTGGATCGTCAAGAAGAAGAAGGTCAAAAACGTCAAGCCTGGGGTCGCCTACATCGACAACGACAAGTTGGGCAGAAAGGAGGTGGTATACAACGTCCCCGTGGAGTCGCCGACTAAGAAAGGCAAAAAGGAGAAAGAGGAGGGTGATTGGTTCGTGCAAGTGTCGGATCCGGACACGCATTGTTGGAAAGCGATGGAAGCACTCACCTATAATGAGAAGTGTCGCGTTCTGAAGAAGGTGCTTGCTTGCAAGGTCGTTTGGATCCAGGCCGGCTCCCCGTCGTTGGCGAAGCTGGGGAAGCTCAGCGTGCAGGACATGGTGCAGTTGGTGAAGTGTAACCGTGTGCTGGTCCGGTTGTGGAATTACTACCAATTCAAGCACGAGAAGAGGCCAGACGCGGATTGGATCCAAAAGTACCCTTTCCTGAAATCGAAGTCTGTCGCATTCAAAAAGTTTGAAAGTCGGGGATTGGATGGCGATTTGTGGTACGGTAGCAGGAAATACGTTTCCGACTCGGCACTGTTCAAGGATTGCCCGCCGTACATGGGTTACGAGGAGGACCACTCGATCGAGGCGACGGAAAAGTTGGCGGGCCACAGGAAGTTGAGCGTCGACTGGAGATAAGGTTCTCTCCGTGTTGACTGGGAGTAGACTGAAGAGCCGGGAGATTGCACTTGTTGAAGGCATTGTTCACATCAAATGGAAAGACACGGGGACATGACATCCATCGCGCCGCTCGGCAACGACCCTTTGGAGACGGACATCAGGAGTGAAGAGCTGAAGGAAGTAGTGGCTACCACAAAGAGCCACACCTTCGTCCTCGATCTATGTGAGCCGGTTGACCTCAAGCTGTGGAAACCGCAAGCGTTCGAGACTTTGAATTCCCATCTTCAGACGTGGTGTCCGTCGCATTGGACTCTCATTGTTTTCGTGCCGCGGCAGCACAACCTCTCGTTTTTTGCCAGCATGCACCATCTTTCTTTCGTAAAGCTGCTGGAAGGGAAGTGGGTGAGGAGGAACCAGCAAAAGAAAAGTTTCCCCGCGGGGAACAATTTGTACACGGAAGACGACCGCATGTACATCCTCTTCAAGGGTGACGATCTGCGCGTCAACACGTCCGTGGTCTATAAGGGAAGGTCGCCTAAGGGTGCCGCTGCTGCGGTGTAGTTGCTTCAGAGGGTTACCCAGACGGAGGTGTCAGAGATTCCCTTCACGCCTTGCGACTGGTCGCAGACCGCGCCGAAACGACAGGGCAGTGTCTACGGGGACATGGAACGCAATCCGACACAATTCATAGGTCTTCTTGATTTCCTTAGCAAGAAGGGAGAGGGTGTCGTCTTCCTTGGGAAACCGCACGTGCGAAGCGTGTGGGAACTTCTGAAGGCAGGCTGACACGCTGTCGTGATGGAAAGGAACTCCGACCTCTTGCAATTCACGATGCAACTGGTCAAAAGCGAGGTCAATTCGGGGGGCCACAATTGTCAGTTCATGGTCGTGAAGGCGACACAGGATCGGGTGTGGATCAACAAGATGGACATGTGGTTCAAGTTGAGCGAGAGGAAGAGGAACAAGATATACGACTTCTTGTTCCTTCAAACGCGACCGAGGAAGGACACTGACGTTGAGTACGACGCCACAGGGACCACATCTTGGCATTGCTCGACAACCACCACTTCAAGTCTGCCTCCCACATGAACGTGAAGACCTTTCTCGAAAGGCTGCATTCGTTGTACTTTGTGGAGTCCGAGGAGCAGTTGAAGTTAGGCAGTTACGCTTCCTTGATCTCCACTAATGATGAGGCAACCACCAGTGTGGAGTTCGACGCCAACGCAGAGGAGGAGGAGAGTGACACCGAGAGCCTTGACCTGCAGTATGACCCACCTCCGGCGGAGCACGCTTGAGGGTCCTCGTCGGCCGGTCCGTCATCAAGCGCGGCACCCGTCATGTCACCGACGGCCAGACCGACGTCGGGACTACGCCGATGAAGTTGTTGGAGAGACTCAGAGTTCTGGTCATCCCCCCGCGCGCATTGCGTCCCGGGTCCGACGTTCCGCCCTATCATCCATCTTGGAAGGATGACAATATCCACTTCCTGCTTGAGCCACAAAGTCATTCGCCGGAGGTGGACTGGGGCCATGACATGATTTGGCATCCAGGAGTCATCCAGCCAGCGATACAAAAGGGCGAGTGGGTCATGGCCGTCGCAGTCCTGGGCGCGGGATGGGTGTCAATCCCTCGCGAGTCGAAGTCCAACTTCCTGCACCTCGCGAGGATTTCGGTCCTCCAAAAAGTGAGCGCTGAAAATGACACGTCTGCACACGACGACCTGTCCGTCATTTCTACAGCCGGCCGACTGTTCGACGGGCTTCAGGACAAGTGCTGGTTGGAAATGACGGAGGACTACTACGAGCTCGACACGAGCCCATCGAAGGGCGTGGTGGACTGGAAAGTGCCCCCTCCCAGTGGACCGCACGGGAGTTCCAGGGGGGGGGCACCTGGAGGTGGAGGGGACGGGGGTAGTAGTGCTGGGGGTGGCAAAGGAATCCCGCCTAGTGGGGAGGGAGGGTCTCACGGCGGCACCACGACACCGGGAGGCAGCGGTGGGGTGGCGGGTTTTGCCGTCGATCGACATCCGTCTACTGGCCCCTAGCCGGAGCATACGACATATTCTGCCGACCTCCAGACTTCGTTCGTGGGCTCAGCGAGGGAGACGTTGGCAGCCTTGGTTGCTCCCGGCAGCCGCTCCAGCGGAACATTGAAGTATGCCTGGATCCGAACTACGTCGGTTGAGGAGCCGCCAGAGCGGTCCGCCTTGCAGAGCCGCTCGGGGTTGGGGGAGCCGAGCCAGGATCCCACAATTGGCAGCGGTGCAATGAGGGACGAAAATGCGTCGCCTGAGCGGGAACGACGGCCGCTAGGATTGCAGCGAGAGGCTACGAGTACAGGGTCCGGCGACACGGAGACGACGAAGTCCGCCGAGATCCAAACTTCTTCAGGCGGGGGGTGTCAGCCAAGGATTGTCGTGCCGCCGAGAGGGGCAACATGCACGGAGACAGAAGGGCGGTCCTCGGTATTCAACACGGGTACCGGGGAAGGGGCTGAATTGCATGGAAGGGAAGTAGGGGAGGACATGGAGGATGGGAAGGAAGCGCAAGAAGGGGAGGAAGAAGGGGAAGAAGGGGAGGAAGGGGAGGACGGGGAGGAAGTGGGAGAAACGGTGCTCATTGAATTGCTTGAAGGAAGAGAGGGTGAGAAAGCGGACGTGAGTATTGGAAACAACGAAGGGGAGGACAGTGAGGACGATGCCAGATCTGGAGAGTCGTCTGACGAGTTCGGACGACTGTACGAAGAGAATCACGAGGATGATGTTGATGACGATGCCATGGCAATAGATAGAGACACAAGTGGTTAGCAGACTTTCAGTAGAGCCTGAAGACTATGAGGTCCAACCACTTACGTCTGTCGTCGATTTGCAAAACCGGTTCGACAAAGTTATTGACGGTATCCTCGGCGACCAGCACGTGTCCTCACATCCGTCCACAACGCCTGACGTCGACGACGCTGGCAACGTCACATCTTCCGTGGCAGCTGCCCTCGCTTCCTCGCCGTCGAACTCTCCGGTACTGTCGGCCACCTTCGCCAGCGGAGGGCAAGGCGAGGTCAGGGGACGACAACCTGTATTGCACACCCAGTCACGGCCGGGGCCGAAAACTCGGCCGCGGCCGCAGCCGTCAGCTGAATCGGCTGGGTTCGGCCACGGCCGACCAGTCGAGTTTGGTGCAGCTATTTTTTTCCTATATTTTAGCGCACAAAGAAAAAATAAAAAAATATGCGCGTGTAGGGTTTTTTGAGCCCTACACGCCCATATTTGTTTTGGGGCATTGTTGTTTTCTATTGCGTAAAATAAAAATAAAAAGAAAAAAAAAATAAAAAGAAAAAAAAGCGCTTTGAAACCCCACGCAAGTGTGTGTGTGTGTGTTTGTGTGTGTGTGTGTGTGTGTGTGTGTGTGTGTGTGTGTGTGTGTGTGTGTGTGTATGTGTGTGTG